AGTTAATAAATTCATAATTAGTTTATGAATTTCCGTATGGGCTATGAATTTCCGTATGGGCACTTTATGTATAAAAACTAAGAAATTATATGAATTTTTATATTGGTATTGTGTGTTCAACCCACGTAAATTATAAGAATGGTTGGGAAATGAATGTATTGGCACTATAGGTGTGAACTATAGAGTGTTTAAAGAATTTGAAAGAATTAATGGACATCAAAATGGTCATGATATACTTGTGTTTAGAATTTTGCTTATGATTATTTATGCCTCACTAAGAAATTTCTTAGCATGTGTTACTTTCATGTGTAGGTATTAATACAAGCTGAGTAAGGAGACCATCGGACATCAAAGCAAGTATCTCCTCGTCTACTTTTGATGTAATTAGTTGGCATGTAATTGATTTAGTAAAAACGCTCTGAAAAATATTTGATTTACCATTATGTAAAATGAAGAAATGTTTGAACATCACTTTTGTTTATCTACGTAAATTTAATGCGTGTTTTATTATTATTAAATTAAATTATTTTATAAAAATGAACAAATATGAAATTTTTTTAAAAGTGATATGACATATATATCTCGTGTACGGAAGGGTATACGGGAGATGTGTGTTACATACCCCATATTAATAAAAAAAATTATATGAGTCTATAGTAAACGTCGCACACCAAAATATATCACTAATGTAACATATCAAAATACACTATTACATAAATTATTCTTAATAAGATATTAAAAATTTCACGAAACTATTTAAATTAATTATTTTTATTAAAAAAACCATTTTTAATATAAGGGTCTGTTTGTTTCACGTAAAATATTTTTCGGAAAACGTTTCCTCATTTTTCCAGTGTTTGGTTAGAGGAAAACTAGTTGGTCAACGTAAAATATTTCTTTGTCAACAAAATTTCCTTTGTGTTTTCTGGAAAATGACTTACGGTCTAATTTCCCGTAAGTCATTTTCTGAACTTTTCACTTCAAAGAATAAATACTCAAAAATAATTTTATTTTAATAATATATAATGAATTATAAATAAATTTTATACTATTTATTAATTTTATAGAAATAATATAAGAAATATAATTTATAATATTTTTATTTCAATAAAATTTAATAATCTTAATATTTTATTAATAAAATTATAGAAATAATATTTTAATAAGAAATAAATAAATTATTCTAATATTTTAAAAATAATAATATTAATTTTTATGATATATAACATTACTTATTGTATTTAATATTTGTAATAAATATTTTTTTTAAACTCATTAACTAGTGGAAAATGGTTTACACAACATTTTCCAAACAATGTAAAATGTTTTCCAAAAAATATAATTCATTTTACGGAAAACATTTTTCAGAAAATGTTTTCAGTGAAACAAATGAACCCTAAGAGTTTGATTTTTTTTAGAGAAACGACATGCCTTATTAAAAACACCTTCTAGTCCTAATAAGGGGAAAAGAGTGCCCAAATTCTATTATCGAGAAACCATGTCACAAGATACATCAGATACAATAATCTTGGGATAAACCGAGTCGAATAATAAAGAACTACTCGACCGTAGTGTCCAGCTAGCCAAAGTATGTGCTACCTTGTTGTACTCGCGTCGTACGAACTGAATTACAAACGATGCATTACAGTCAAACAAATTACGAGCTTCCTTTAAATGAAATCTTGTAGTGGAAACATCAGGTGTCTATCCTGGATCTTGTTTACCACCATAGCAGAATCAGACTCAAATACCACATTTTTCAATTGGTTCTCGATAACAAAATGCAAACCAGCCACAATTGCATGTACTTCGACAATCTCAGCTTTCCTACAAGATGGCGCTGACACTGCCATACCCCCAGGGGTAACCCAGTAGCATCACGAGCTATTATACCTATTGTCGCCATTCGTCGCTGCGGATCGAAAGCCCCATAAAAAATTAACTTTAAAAACTCCAAGGTCGAGCGAACGTCACTTCTGTTGGGTAACACTAGTCGGCGCCTGTCGTGGTGGAACTCCAGCAGTTGTGCGTGCTGCTCAACGAACAATGGAATTCATGGCCGATTTAAACGCATTCTAGAGCACTTGCACATTTAAAGCTATAAGCCACGGAGGTTGAAGTTTATCCTCATGGACTAGTGTTTTTCTTCCATTTCATATATTCCAAAGTAGAACCACAAAGTCACCAAAACATTCCACGGTGAACAACTGCGATAACTCTTCTACCCAACCTAAACTAGATTCTCCAGGCACGAAATGAGGTACCTAGAAAAACCAGCCTCCTGCATGGCCAGCTAGGCAAACCAATAGCCACGCAAAGCATGAGCAGTTGTTTCCTCATCAGCTTGGCACATAGGATACAGTCCAGAACCTAAACCTACTTCCCGAAGACATTTACTAACAGACAATCCATCATTCACCAAGCACTACAAAAATATACGTATTTTTGGAATAACTAGTAATTCAGTAATGACCTGCCAAACATGAGATGTGTGGCCCAGTGAGTGTTGTTGATGTTGTAGCCACCAATACCCGGATCGAACCAAGTACACATCGAAATCATGATAACCCCAAATAATAACCTCATCAGAACACGAAGTAATAGTGGTAGCTATGATCACATCGACATTTGTCCTCATGAACACCTCTCGAACATGCGATTCAATCCATGTCGGACAATCCGACATCATAAATAATGAAGCACAAAATCTTGCTGGCGGGGAGGAAGAGTAATCCCCTGTGAGCATCACCTTTGTAGAACCACCCCATTTATCTGTAACCAGGTTCAGCTGACTATTAATACCAATGCGACTATAAATGGCTCCTTCCATCGACTGAAGTGCCTTGAAAATGCCTTTCCATGCATATAAACTTCTGTCTCCTTGTCTAAGAGTTTAATTTTGTTTTTATAATAAGGGTAAATTATACTATTAACCACCAAACTATGCCATTTTTGAAATTTTATCAACTAGGTTATCCAACCATTTAAATACATTCAATCAAGTTACTTGGCGTTAACATTTAACGGAGAAGTTAGCGTGGCAATTAAATGACTTGATATAATTACAGAGTTGGTCATTTTTACTTTACTTATATATTCTATCAATTTGGTCCTAATTTTAATAAATTAAACATTCGAATCATATTGTACCACGTGTCAGTAGTGCCAAATGTCATGACACACAGGGATGATAGATGGGTACAATTGCACAGATTTCACACCGCACCCGCTCCAATTAGGGTGGGTATAAATATAGTTTAATGGGTAGAAGATGAGTGTAGATGTAAAAAGTCCTACCCGCTGTGGGTAATGGGTAGGTGATGGGTTTAAAACCTTACCCGCTCTGCATCCACCTGCCCCACATCCACCCACCCACTGATTACCCACCATATAAATTTTGGACCATTATAAATTTAGGTATAATTTTAGAGACTATTCTATAAATCTTAAGGTATTATAGGACATGACTTGTAATTTAATCAAATGTTAGGGTATAAACTCAATTAATCATCAGTTTATTTTATTTTGCTTCTTAATCACTACAAGAAATTTCAATTGTTTTAACAAAATTATTTATCACTAAAAGTACTAAATTTGTCACGATATATTTATTCTAACCAATTTTATTTGTTACCATGTTTGTTAGAACAACATTGTCATGTAAAGTACATAATGACAAAATTGTGTTCGTTACCATTGTATAGTATTTATTGTAACAATGAAATTTCGTTACTATAATTAACTTATCACATTAAAATATTTGTCAAAATCAATTAACTATTTCATCACGAGAAATACATTTTGTCATAACTAACTTATATTTAAACATCAAATATAAAGGGTTTTTGTGACGAAAATACATAAGGTAACAAAAATTATTTTGTCATAGTTGATATTTCATCACTAAATGCAAGTTATAGAAACAAAATATTTGTTAAACTAAAAAAATTATTTTATCGCAAAAAGTAAATTTCGTCATAATTAACTTAAATTATAACATCAAACAAAAAAGATTTTCGTGGCAAAAAGACATTATAACAAAATTTATTTTCTTGCTACTTTTATTTCGTCACTAATTTTTTTTATAACTTTTTACTGTGATTAAATAATTTGTTACAATTTATTATTGTGAAAAAATATTATTTGTCACAAATTTTGTAATGAGAAATTAATATTTACTATAAATTGTTATTTTTATTAAATAAATGTCACAATTTTTTATTTTGACAAAATATTATGATGAAATAAATTTTGACATAACTTTTACTTTGATTAAATTTAATGTGTTATTGTGACTAAATCATTTTATTATTGTGAAATAATATTACTTGTGACAATTTTTTATATTGAAAAATTAATATTTGTTACAAATTATTATTTGATTAAATAAATTTGTCATAATTTTTTATTTTAACAAAATATTTTGACTAAATAAATTTGACATAATTTTTTATTTTAACTAAATTTAATTTGTTATTTTGTCTAAATAAATTATCATAATTTTTTGATGTTACAAAATAGCATTTTATTTAAATTTGTTATTATAACTAAAATAATTTGTTATGATAAATAAAAATATATTTTAAAATCTTATAACAATACAACTAATATTAAATAACATTAAAATAAACATAAAATATTTATAATAAATTTGTTAAAAAATAAAGTCCTCCCTACAAATAAAAGTAAATTAAAATCCACCATGAAGATCCATAAATTCTTCCACACTACATGTGAATAAAAAAAGTTAAATTATATTAAGTTTTTAATAAATATTTAAAAAATAACATGAAATATATTTTATTATTAAAAATTAAATTATAATATTACCTTGAATATTCATGCAGATGTATTTCCTCCAAATCTTTAAAACGTTGTTAGTAACAATTACCTTTTTCAGATCACTGTTGTTAGTAATAAAAATCACCAGTACGAACCAATTCAATGGACGGTTTCAGAACTTCTGCTTAAAGCTACCTGACTTCGGATAGTAACGAGGAAAAAACATATTTAAGAGTTATGCCTCTGTCGTTCAGATGGAGCAAGTATTAGTTAAGGCATAGCTTAATATAAACAAAAAAATATCCTTCTTAGACCCTTGCTTGCTGGAATTTTTTTGGTATAAGCAATTTAAAATCCCATATATATGCTTAAGATCGAGAGCAGGTTAAAGTTCCTATGAGCTTAAAGATACTGCTGAACAATACAGTAAAGGTCCTATTCAATACATTACTTTCTCCAATCCTCTTAAGGCAACAAGAAGAAAACAAAATCACACACAAAAAGAACCAAAATAAAATGTGAAAGTAGGTTTGTGACATAGATACCTCTAAAGCTTTCAGTACATGCTCAGGTGCTATGGTTTGTTTCTCCTCTCTGTTACAAACTTCATTGGACTCTGATGAAATGAGATTAATAAACTCTGCAAAAGGGTTAAAGTTATTATTAGTTCCAAGTTCCAACAAACAAGAAACTAATACTTCCAATTATATTATGGTTTGGGACAATAAAAACCCAAGGATGTAAATGAATTACGAGGCATATTGATGGTGCATAAATTTTCCAAACAAAATTCTAACAAGAAAAAGCTTTTTTCACCAAAATCTTCAATGAAGCAACGAATAGACTGTGAGTATAACCATATGAGTCTGAACTGCCAAATAGCACCGACAGTAAGGTTAGGTCAAGTACTTGTGCTTACAAGAGAACAATCCTGACGATCGTACTACTTATCGAGTACTACTGTACAGCGGTAAATGTGCTAGCTACGGAAAAGGTCTCTAACCCAGCTTGACTAGCCATTAGGACATGTAGTGAAAAATAAATATTACCCAGGAGAAGACTATTTCCATTCATTCATCACATGCCTTTAAGAACTAATATTTACTAAATGAATTGACACTAACATGCAAAGGCATAGCTCTTAAATATCATAAGATGTCAGGCAAACAAACAGTGGGAAAGTGATCACTAAAACATGAGTTAAAAACTGATGAATTTGGCTGTAGAAACCAAGTGGAAATACGTTACTTTAAATAGATTGAAAAGGAAGAAAGATCAAACTTATTATCTAACCTACACAACACTCAATCAAAAGATCTTGAGTATCTCTCGCAACACGTACATCTTGCGGTAACATCTCCTTTATAATTTTCTTCATAGTTGCTGGAAAAGAAATACTATATAATTTTCATCACAAAGCAATAAAACAAATCCAAACCAAATCAGAGGTGAAAAATCCCTGAGCAGAGACACTATATAAGAAAGTATAATTTGCACGCGCACAAAAAAGTATTTCAGCTATTTTAGACAAATATTTGACACCCTCGTGTCAAAAAGTAAAATTGAATCAGAATCATAAATTGCTACAAAAGTGAATCATGTAGAGTGTTTAAAAATATTATAGCCCTGTTATTAGCTTATACGCTCCATTTCACCAAGTAAAAAAGTTTCCCAGGGACAGCAAATACATCAACCCCTACAAGGCATAATTGTCCAAACACTTGCAACCCTTGCCAATTATTATTCTATGTGCAACATTGGAATAGATTGTTTTCTTATACAATATTTAGCATCCATTCTCAAAGACATCACAGACCTCAACCAGTGCAATGGAATCCCTCTCATAAAAGCTCTAGACAAGAACATCTCTCTTGAAGTTCGAAAACAAAAAACACCTGTACGTATAAATAATTTATAATATATAATAATAAATGGGCACGCATATAAACTACCAACAACATTTTCAAACATCTTTGACAGACAAAGCAAAAGATAGCTCCTCGGGAAAAGCTTGAAACTCTCACAATAAAAAGCGAATCAACGACAAGATAATGTTTGAACACAAATTTATGCTTTATATCATAAGAGATTTCGTCTCGTTGTGCTTACCTTAACACCATCAAATTCAAGTTTATGCAAACTTTCATCCTTTGGTAGCTTACTCAGAAATAACCGTAATTAACTTTCAATGGCAACTAATTCACTTGTTTACTAATATTCGAAATATAAGTTGACATAGATAATCCAGAACCCTAAATTCAAGTACCACCAGCAAATTAAAGTCTTGAGATTGAGAAGTTTTAGAGAACAGAGAAACCAAATAATTTCAAAATACCAAATAATTTCAAATAGATAAGATAAATATTACGACAAGAAAGCAGACGAGACGTGAAAATTTTACCTTTGGGAAGCGAAGCGTCCTCCTTTGACTTCCCTACGATATCCATTGGCTCCATCTTGTAATTCTTCAGAACAAAAATTAAAAAAAATAAAACCAAACAGAGAATAAACAGATCTAAAACGTGCGTGCGAGGAGACCGAGGGAGAGAATTGACTCACTGAGTTAAGAAGTCGGGGCGTGATATCCCTACGGAGATAGAAACGGTGAACAAGTCAAGAGAGTCTTGATCTGAGTCGAGTGGGGATTCAAGGGGAAGGGCATGGTTGATTTATGGAGTTCTGATAAAGGCAAAGGATGAGGGCTTCCCGATAAAGAGAGGAGACTCTCAACCCCAGTCTATTAGGGCAAAAAAGTATTAACAAAAAAAATTAGGAAAAACAAACGAACTTTCAGTTGTTCGAACGTGAATTAAACGTGCTAGCTTTAGGCAACTCAGAAACAACAACAACAACAAAACCCAATTCCCATGTGTATGGGGTAAGGGGAGGTAGGGTAGTAGGTTATCCCCAACGTCAGGTTGAGAGTAACTTCCGTGGAAGACCTCCGGCAGTCAGAAAATTAAAAATTTAGATAAAATGCAATGCATGTATAAATAAATACATAAATACACAACTCAGAAAGATATGCGGAAAAAGTGGAAGCTGTGCCTAGGTGCGTGTCTGGAAAATCCGTTTTATAGCGTGTGGATGGAAGTGGTTTTAGCTTTCCCTTTAATTTACCCCATTCTTTTATATGTTTGCTTACTTGTATCTTGATCCATGAGTAGAATAGAACTTTGTTAAAAGATTTTTTGACGAAATCATAATTATTTAGATGGATTCGATCATTATTTTTTTAGTTCCAAGGATTCTATCATTATTCATTAGTCTCACAGAATGATATTATTGAAAAAGTTAATATCTCACTTTTTTTATAATATTTATTTTTAATTATATAATAGGTCGAATCTCGGTTAGGGATGGATATGTGTATGGTTTTCGATCAATCCGACCCAACTCAAAAATTTTATACCTCCACCCAAACTCGACCTGACTCGGGTTTAGAGTAATTCCACCCAACTCGAAATCCAAACCGACCCGAAATAATATAAAATTATTAATTTTATTAATAAATAGGGATTTAATTGAAAAATAATATAAAGAGGGGCACTCTTGCAGTTATCCATAAATATATAAAGTATTTCTATATTATTTTCGGATCGGATCAGTTCAGATTTTTTTCACTCTAAATTCGAACCCGACCTGACCCAAACCTGTTCTCTAAAAAACTCGACCCGACCCAAACCTAATTTTCTTTCAAAAAAATCTAACCTAGTCGAATTAGGTCAAATCAAAACCCGTCGGATTTGATTACTGTAACCATCCATAATATCGAATTTTATTATCTAATGTGATAATTTTTCATAATGGTTAAAATATATAACTACAAAAATAATTGATTACAAAAAATTTGAATTTTATTATCTAATGTGATAATTTTTTCTATAACAATAACTATAAATTATAATTATAAAATTTATCAATATAACTTTTTGAAACAAAAAAATGAAAAAAAATATTTATCACAATAATTAAAATTTATAACTACAAGTATAATTTGTCACAAAAATGTGAATACCATTATTTTTTGTGACAATTTTTTTGTAATAATTATAAACACTATAGTTACGAAAATTGTTACTATATGATTTTTTGGCACAAAAAAAATGGAGGAAAATCTTTATTACGATATATTTTGTTACTATATAACATTTTTGACACTAAAAAATAGGGAGAAATAATTCTGATAGTATAATTTTTCATAATAATTAAAATATATAAATACAAAAATATTTTATTACAAAAACTTGAATTTTATTATTTGATGTGATAATTTTTCTATAACAATAACTATAAATTATAATTATAAAAATATAACTTTTGAAACAAAAAAGTGGAAAAAATTAGTTATGACAATATATGCTATCACTATAGTTAAAATTTATAACTACAAATATAATTTGTCACAAAAACGTGAATAACATTATTTTTTGTGACAATTTTTTTGTAATAATTATTAAAACTTATAGTTACAAAATTTGTCACTATATGACTTTTTTTGCACAAAACAATATGAAGGGAAATCTTTGTGACAATATATTTTGTCACTATAATTAAAACATATAATGACAAAAACTGTTTTTTTACTAAAAACTTGAATTTCATTATTAGTTATGACAACTTTTTTTGTAACAATAATTATAGTTTATTGTTACAAAACATGTCACTATATGATTTTGTTTTTGTACAAAAAATTTGAAATAATCATTTGTGACTATACATTTTTTCACTATAATTAAAATATATAATTACAAACAAAATCTGTCACAACAAATCTAAATCTCATTATTTATTGTGACAATTTTTTCTGTTATAGTTACTAAAACTTTTAGTTACAAAATTTGTCACTATATGTCTTTAATTTGGCGTAAAAAAATGGAGGGAAACATTTGTGACAAAAATTCATAATGAAATTTATTTTGTTACCATATGTTACACATGTTTGCTAACTGTGACAAATTATTATGATGATTTTAACTTTTGTCATAATTGCGTATCTTTTTTAATTTAATGCGATGATTATTTATTTTGTCACCAAAAAGCTACCAGTAGTGACAAAAATAATTTTAACAAAATTAAATGTCACAATAGTAGAAATTTCTTTCAGTGAATGAATGTGTTTGTTTTATATTTTGTTATTTATGTAATCTGCAAGGTTGTTGTCAAGTGGGTATGGGCGGGTACAGACGGGTACGAGATGTGTAGTGGGTATCCAGTTGTGTAGTTGGTGTGGGGGTGGATTTGAGAATGTACCCGCGTAGATGGGTGTGTATTTAAAAATTTTACCCATCGTGGGTGGTGGGTAGATGGCAAATACAAAAATATTAGGTGGGTATAGGGTTGGTGGAATGAGTATCCGCACCCACCCTGCGTATTTGTGATCCCTAATTACACATGTCACCCTTTGATTAGTAGAAAAAATAAAGACGTCAAAATAGAGGATCAATGAACTCAAACCTCGATTCCTTAGGTGTTAAAGAAGTCATTCAACCATTGAGCCAAAAACATTATTTGATTTAAAGTAGACTAGATATGGTATATATTATATATATTAGTCTAAACTTAAATTCTTAATATTTTATATATTTTAATTTAAATTCCCATATTAAATTAAATTCACGTCTCAACATTAAAAATATATATTTTACTTTTATCTTAAATAATTAAATATATTTTATGATAGAGAAACGATAACGGATGATGTATACGTTGCTCTCATCGAGGAAACAAACCTAAGAAGGCTCTAGACTCGATGAAGAAACGAAGGGCTTTAAATATGTGCTTAGAAGGTGGCAACAAGATTAGGGTTTTAAGGAGGCTTTTAATTGGTGGACAATAAACAAAGAGATGAGATTAGGACAAAGAAAACAAGGGTAATAAAATTAAAAACAAGAGAAATAAGGGTAATAATTCAAGACAAAAAATAAATCATGTAATAAAATAAAGATGATCTTATCTTCCTTGTAATAGGCGTCCAATGTATTTGTTGTCTGATTTTGATGGATGATGGCTCATTAGAAAGAGGATGAAAAGGTGAGAAAGAAGGTAAAGGCATATTTGAAATCGGAAGGTTGGATTATGAGAAAAATGATTTTGAAAATTTACCCCCGGTAAGTATAGGGGTTAACGCAAACCCTAGCTTTAATATGGAGGTGGCATGAAGATGGATGTAGGTTGATGATGTTGATGATGATGGCGTGATGATATTGATATATGGATATGTCCTATCGAACCCTCCTAATCGCATTGAAAAGGAAAACTCGATAATACATATCTAACCAACCCTCCTAATCGCAATGAGAAGGCAAACCGAAGTGTGAAGATCTCTCTCTCAAGAACTCAGAAGAACTAAAGAAGAAGATGCTTCGAAGGCACAAGACAATCAACTCTTGCAAAAAAGAACTCTCGTTCTATTTTATATAAAAAAAGAAAAATTCGATGATTACAATAAGGGGGAGGGCCCCCTTATTAGGGTTTGGAGAAACCTCATTCAAACATGAACAACTAATAAAATAACAATAAAAACTCTCCTAAATACATGTATATGGTTGCATTGATTGGTGGCCAATGATGAAGCTTTTGATCCGACGGTGAAGATGAAAGATGGCTTGAAAAGGCTCTTGAACTTGATGAACGGTCCATATCTCCCTTCTAGAAGATGAATGGGCATCATGGCTTGTGATAAGTAAGGGGAATGGGCCTTGATAAGTTATCAAGGCTTGTATATAAGGGCCTGGTGTGGTGGGCTTGTTTGAAAAGGATGATAAGCTATAAAAGGTTATATTTCAATGGCTTATTGGGCCAGATCCTTAAAAAAATAAAGTAAACTATTAATTGCTAAATCTACGAGTTAGCCCAGGCTTTATAGATGTAACATTGGGTAACTTCCCATAAATGATTTGAGTTTTTGAGATCTAAGTAGATGATGGAGGCATAATGAGTGATTTTTCTTCCTTAAACTCTTCAAACTCCATGTGGGCCTGAAGGCTCTTGCTGACGAATGTATGGAGTGCAGTTTGGAGTTGATCATTGAGTAGCTTGACTTGTCCTCTAGTCATTGGGCCTGAAGGCAATGTAAGACCATCTTGTGGGCGTGTGGTGCATGTATCATTTTATTTTTATCTTAACTTAAATATATATTTTATACTTATTTTAACTTAAAAATATATTTTAGTCTTATCTTAACTCAAAAAAATATATAATTCATTCTTACTTCAATTTAAATATTTATATTTTATTCTTATAATATTTGAAAATTAAGATTAAAATAAAATTTATATTTTTTTTAATTAAAATTAATGTGAAATATTTTTAAAATTAAAATCAGAATAAAATGTACATTTTTAAATTAAAATTAAATATATAATTTTAGGTTAAAATAAGAATAAAATATGTGTTTTAAATTAAAATAAGAATATATTATATTTAATAATTTAAGGTAAGAATAAACCATATTTAGTAATCTAAGTTAAGAATATAATATATGTAAAAAGTTAAAATAAAAATATGATATATTTGTAAAAGTTAAAATAAAAATAAAATATGTTTTTAAGTTAAGATAAGATTAAAATATATTTTAAAGTCAAAATAAAAATAAAATATATTTCTAAGGTAAGATAAGAATAAAATATATTTAATAATTTTAAATAAAAAAATATTTTTCATGTTAAGATGTGAATTTATTTTAATATGGAAATTAAATTAAAATATATAAAATATTAACAATTTAAGTTTAAACTAATAAATAAAATATATATCAATTTGCTTGGCTCAATGGTTGAATGGTTGCTTTAACACCCAGG